AAGTGCGAAAGTTACAATAATAAATCCTTTAAATCTGAAATAAAAAACTTTGGGAAAATCCCTCCTCCCCTCCTTCGGTAGGTTAAGAAAGTAGCCCCCCCTCCCCTCCCAAACCTCGCTCCAAGCACACTGGAAAAAGCTTGCGAAGAACTAGTCTTTGCGTTGCAAAGAATTTTTTTGAAGCGTCTGTGAAATGCTTTGCACTGCGAACAAGTTCTTCGCACCTTATATACGAAGAAAATTGTTCATAACGCTGCATAGAATTAGTTCGTAACCTTGCATAAACTCTATTTCTTCGCACATTGCGAAAAAAATAGCTTGCAATGCAAACTTCCTTACAATCCTTTAAAATTCTTGGCAGTGCAGGCGCCGGCGGCACAGCCCTGCGTGCGCGACGCGGAACACACGCTCCCCCTCTCCCTCTCGCGCACGCGCACACACACACTCACACACACTCACACACACACACACACACACACAAGCACGCGCGCGCGCGCCGAAATGGAGGAATACACAAGCGGAGCGGCACCGTGCGTCCGCCGCGTCCCGAACCAACCGCGGAACGCAATCGGAAGGAAGTACGGGGAAGGAAAACGACGAAGGAGTACACACGGGGGAACGAGCCATAATGATAGACGTGCTGTGCACCGTGCAGCCAAAACTTTGAGTTCCTCTTTTAAAGAAGTTTTGCCCACGCGGAATGATGTTGGCGACTCTAGTAAACGGTGGTGCAATATACAAATCTTGTGTAATTTCAATCTTAATTTAAATGCGTTGTGTGCGAGTTCAACATTCCTTCTATGAAACATGTTAAATGCGGAGTGACCCTTGTTTGGAGACTGGCTCACACTAGATGGTGCATAGCGTGTGTCCCACGCAAGGCGGCGTCGGCTGGGGCTGACCCGCCCCGCGCGTCATCGCGCTTTTCATGACCGTCGAGGTGAGAGCGGCATCAAAGTGCTGAAGATCAAGGAACAAAAAAACAAAATAACATAAAAAGAATTCTAGTGTGGCAGCGGCCGCGTGATGGCGGGTAGTAGTAGCCAGCCCAGTCTGATAAGGAAGGAGCTGACCTACAATTCGCGTGTCTGAGAGGGAGGCGGAGGGAGGGGGTTCGTCCAG